TAATAGAAAAGCTCAGTGTCTTAGATATAGTTTACATGATTGCTGATGCAGGGTAATTCCTCTTGATTTTCTTTTTGTCTCTGACCGTTTTCTCTCTCCTTGTTTTTTCACCAAAACAAACTGCCTCTCACTGATACTAGCAGTGTCAACAGGTTGGTTTATTTGATTGGGCAAGGAGAAGACTTCAAACTTTTTCTGGAAATATCTAATTATTTAATATAATCCTAGGCAGCAGCTACGTAAACCACAGATGTGAAACTACAGAATTTTAAGTTGTCAGAAAAATTCGTAGTATATATAATAATCAAGAGAAATGAATTGGTCAATGTATCAAATTTTATTATTTTTTTTAAAACAGTTAACATTTAGCAAGAAGAACAAATACTTAAGTTTCACAAAGGAAAGGTGATACAGTGGAATGAAATGAACTTACCACTTTTTAGCATGTAAGAGAAAAAATTAAAATAAAAACAAAAACAAAACCATACAATAGCAATAAAAGCAATAAGTACTTAGGAACAAACTTAATAAGAAATGTCAAAAGTCTATATAAATAAAACTGAAAGACACAAACGTAAATTTGAACAAACAGATATCTCTTATTCCTCGATAAGATAATTCAACATCACAAAAAGGTTAGTTCTCCCTAAGTTAATGAGTTAATGAAATTTCAATTAAGAGTATCAGCAACCTATTTTAAATCGAGTTAGCCAAATTTATGTCAAAGTTCATATGGAAAAATAAACATTCAAGAAAAGCTAGGAGAAAAAAAAAAGCCTCAAGAGTGGATTACCTCAACCAGATATTAAAACATACTATAATGTGGTACTGACACAGGAACATGTATGCAAATGACCTAGTGGAACAGAACAGAAAGTCCAGAAACAGACCAAGTACATGTGGAAATTTAGCATGTAATAACCATAGCATCTCAAATCACTGGAGAAAAGATCGGCCTTTTAATAAACTGTACTGAACAACTAACCGGTTAATGATTGAGAAAGGATAAAATTACGGGGTGCCTGGGTGGCTCAGTCGGTTAGGCATCCAACTTTGGCTCAGGCCATGATCTAACAGCTTGTAGGTGTGAGCCCCATGTTGTTCTGTCCTGACAGCTCAGAGCCTGGAGCCTGCTTTGGATTCTGTGTCTCCCTCTCTCTCTGCCTCTCTCCTCCTCTCTCTCTCTCACAAAATAAATAAACGTAATAAAAAAAATTTTTTTAAAGAAAGGATAAAATTATATCAGTAACTCATACCATACAGAGGCATAAACACCATAAACAAGAATAAACTTCAAACAGATCAGGGAATTTAAATGTAAAAAGTGAAACCTTGTAACTACCAAAAGAAAATATGGTTGAATTTCTCTTTAACCTGGGGAAAAGGCTTTTTACAAGGAAAGGCTTTATAAGGAAAAGGCTTTCTAATCATAAATTAAAATCCACATATGGGGCGCCTGGGTGGCTCAGTCGGTTAAGCATCTGACTTCGGCTCAGGTCATGATCTCACGGTCAGTGAGTTCGAGCCCCACGTCGGGCTCTGTGCCGACAGCTCAGAGCCTGGAACCCGTTTCAGATTCTGTGTCTCCCTCTCTCTCTGCCCCTCCCCTGTTCATGCTGTGTGTCTCTCTCTGTCTCAAAAATAAATAAACGTTAAAAAAAAATTTTTTTTTTTAAATCCACATATGATAAAAGAAAAGAACAATAAATTCGACTGTATGGGGTAGTGGGAGACTTTCATATGGTATAAAAACAGAATATACAAGGTAAAAATACTCAATACATCACAGATAAAGAATAAATCTGTAATAAAGAACTCTTCAGAGTTGAGAGGAAAAGACCAAAAACTCGTTTAAAAAATGGACAAAAAGAAAAAAGAACAATTTACACATACAAAAACAAAACGGACCTTAAACAGATGGAAAGATGTTGAACTACATTCATAATAATGAGATTATAAATTAAAACTACAATGAGCTGCCATTTCTCACATATCAGATTGGCAAAAATTGAAAAACTTAGGCCAGGCAAGTTGTCCACGCTAAGGGGAAATAGGCACTCAAATGACCAAAGAGGATGCAAACTGATTCAACCATTATGGAGGGGAATTTAACAATATCAAACAAAATTACCTAAGTGTTTATGCTTTGACTCAGCAGTCTACCTCTCTTAATTTACTCTGAAGATACACATCTAATTAAAAAAATATATGAGAGAAGGTTTTTCATAGCAGCACTCTTGGAGATAAAAAAAATACTGAAAAGAAATGAAATATCCATACATACAAGAATGGTTGAATCAACTCTGGCATACTATGCAGCTAGATGAGAAAAATCTCTGAAATGATATGCAATGATTTCTAAGAACTATATCAAGAGAAAAGGCAAAGTGCAAAAGAGCTCCCTTAATAAATTACCTTTTATGTAAAAAAGAAGCCAAGAAAATTACACTTAATTGCTCACTTGTGCAAAAGAAACCCAGAAAAAATGAACCAAAACATAATGAGACTGGCTAGCTACAGGAAGCGAGTAGAAACAAAATACAGGGAATAGAGAAGAAATGGCACTTGTATATTTCTGATCTTTGGAACCATGTTAGTGTGTTTCACAGATAGAAAATATAATTTTTTAAAAAGTAAAAAAACAAAAAACAAAAAACAAAAAACAAACAACAGGGTTAAAGTTCTAAGAAGGGATACATTCAGAAACAAATGAACCAAACTATTTCAAATGAATAAATAAACCATGCTAAAGGGAAAATTTTTAATTAAAAAAAAAAAAGCAAGAATACAAACACAAATACTTTCTAAACAGAATATATGGTTCTGATGCAGTGATGATAAAATGTTTAACAAAGCACTCTGGAGTCAGAATGCTTGATTCAAATACTTGCCCAATTTTCTACTTGCTAACTGTGTGACCCTGGACAAGTTAATTTATAATCTCTGTGCGTAAGTTTTCTTAGCCAAATAACAACAGTACCAATCTCACAGTACTAATGATAAGGCTCAAATAAAACTAATTATGTAAAAAGCTTAGGAGATCACTGGGTATATAACAAGAATTTGTTAAGTATTTGCTATCATCAATACTAATCCAAAACAAAAAACAAAAAACCAACCCACTGATTTTGTGGGTTTCCAGGAGATACATATAATAAAAATGGAGTCCTTGTCATGAAAAAATTTGGAATTTCCTAGTTTAGGGACAATAAGTGTTCAAGGAATTTAGAACAAAATCCATACGGCTGGCCGGAATCATCTGAGAAATTTCATAAAGGACAGGATTTAGATTAGCAAGAGAACGGGAGTGACAGAAAGGAAGCTAAATAAAAACCAATATATATTTCACGGACAGTAGCATAAAAGGTTTGGAAAGCTGAGTATTTGGAGATAAGACTACAGAAGTCCCTGAACACACTACTGAACTAGGCAGGCTTTATTTTCTAGACTCTGAGGAACCACAGAAGAATTGTGTGTAGGAGAAATAATGATCAACCTTAAGTGTGGGATTATTCTTGTGGTGGTATGCAGAAGATCAGAGGTAGAGTCTTACTAGTAGGTAAGCCAAATAATGGCAAGGGCCTGACTAGACTACTAGTGATGAAAAAAGGAAAGAAGGCACAAATCATCAAGGCAGTAAAGAAAAAAAATCAATGCAGGGTGACAAGTGGATATGAGATATGAGAGACCAGAAAAGTCTGAATGACAAAGCGAATGACATTAGAAGGAAAAAGCAAAAAGGAATGGGAAGCAACAGAAAGGATTTCCACCAGGTCTCAAAAGTCAGATCAGAATTAAGCAAGAAGCCCTTGCAATGTGAGATACCAGATATCAATATCCAGTGGGCATTTGGCAACATGGGACTAGTACTTAGGAGAGAGAGTGAGTACTGAAGACAAAAGGTGTAACAATTTTTTTTCCTAAAAAACCTCTTTAGAATGTTTGAGACACTCTAGAGCAATAAAGATAGTAGACTCTGTGCTATTTCAGAGCAGTGATCATCTCTTATTTATTTTTATAGCCCTTCATGTTTGGCATACTTATTAGTACAGGGGAGACTCTCAGTAAGATGTTGCAGAGGTGGCAGAAGTAGAGAAGAGAACAGAGCTGCATGGCTTGTTAATGGCAGAACATACGTTAGAGCCCAGATCTTTTGACTCTCTACACTATACCATAACATAGAGATGACCTTTCAACATTCATGCATAGGATCCCCTAAAGAGCTGGTGTAAGAAATGAAAATAAACTGTTTCTCAGAGTAGACTGAAGAAAGACATAAGAAAATAGCAAAGAAAAGTCAGTTACTGGGGAAAAAAATGATAGTGTTGCATTACAGATTCAAAGGAAATTTTAAGAAAGGAGGCATAGTCAATAGTCAAATGACCAAACACTACAGGTACTATTTCTCTGGTCTCCTACACCAATGAGACCCTAGGCAAGG